TCACACACACACAGCACATAACACATATGCGACACACACAAACAAACAAGCAGACAATGTCTTATGACAGCAGTAAGAGGAAGGAAATCAGAAATTAAACAATACAAATAATTAAAGTAAGATTATAGGATCGGTTCCAAAGGATGAACTCTCTGCCCTGGTTCTCACTGGTTCTCCCTCATGGTCATCTTATGATCAGTATGCATTTAGAAGAACTTCATGGGTTTTACTCATACAGTCTATGGTTTTACTACATCAAATACACATCTTGCTGTTTATTTTAATGACATCCCTGTATGTCTACATGTTCTTTCTGAGATGACTCTGTGTGCATCACACATGCTGCTTCGACAGATCTGCTGAAGTAGGCACACGTGCACACAAACTATTGGGCTGCTGAAGCAGTTATATTGATTCACCACAGACTCATGCCATCAGACACACACACACACACATGACTAGAATTACACTGTAGGCTTGGTTTTCATTAGAGAAAGTATTGGCGTGGAGCCATGTTACTGCTTGGTTTTTGTGGTCTGTGACTGTGTGTGTGTGTGTGTGTGTGTGTGTGTGTGTATTTGGCAAAGTGCTACTAGTCAATGTGTTCCTTGTTGGCACTGAGTGTCTTAGTGGCTTTAGGAGTGAGTGAAAACAAAAGAAGGAATGAGGAGACTAACAAGGAGTAAAGGAGGTAAAGAGGGAGAAGAATGCATCTGGATGGGATGAGTGTAACTAAAGTAAAACTGAAAATGTGGAAGGACAGACAGGAGTGTAAAGGGCGAGGGGTAAAAGGGACATATTGAAGAGTACAAGAGAAATGGGACGAGTCAGGGAGAGGAGGGAGGGTGAATGACAAATGAAGTGAGGGAGAAGGGAGGAAGGGAAATGACTTCAGTAGCAGTGAAGCTGACTTTACCGTCACGGGGAAAAAGAGCAGCTCCCGCGGCATCTTGTAAAGTGAGACAGAAAGAATGATAGTGTGATAGAGAATGAGAGAAAGATGGAGACAGAGGGAGGTCGGAGAGAGAATTGCAATGAGATTAAAAAAGTTTTTTAGGGGGGGTAAACACTTTGTACACTTGCACAGCTGGCAAGAAATGGAAAATTTAGAAGTCAAGAAGGGAGTATTTCAAGCAGGAATGGATAGTGTCTGCATGTTAATATATATATTTAAATTATTGTGTTTCTTTTGTTTCAGTGGCTGATGAGAGCAACGTAGGATCACTGGTCGTAAACACTGCAGGTGAGTCAAACAGTTGACACACTGGAAACACAGTCACACGAGTTTTAATGAATTGCTGCTTGATTATCAAGAAAACAGAGCAAAGAATTGCGAAAAGAAAATTTAGGGCCCCTTCACCCCTACTTTGTTTGGTCCTGAACCGAGTCTGACCAAAAGAGGTGGTCTAGGTCCAGATCAAACGTAACCATGGCTTTGGTTTGTTTGCAAAGTGACATATCTTTCTTTGGCTAATTCAGACCAATCGTGACTGCATTAATAATAAGAGAAGAAAAAGAAGAGGAAATGGAACAGATGCAAAAAGGAGCCGTGTTTCCACATTGTGGGAAGGAGGAGATATTTAATTGTAATTTGGTCTGAAGACATGCAAACACAACTTGCATAGAAAAAATGCATAGAAATGCAGAGATGTACATTGAAACGCAAAAACTTCTACCTGTCAAATTGATAAAATGCCTACGACAGAGGCAGGCCCGATCAATGTCAAGTATAGGTGTAGGTGATGCTAACAGTCAAACAGTGCTCTCTGAATCGCAAACCCATACTTACTGGATCAAAAATATAAAATGAGACCTTGGTCCAGACTTTTGAGTTCCAAAAACTGAGCTGAACAAAGTGGTTGAACCTGAAGATGACAAGAGATGACGTGTATATTAAACATGTTTATGTGTTGTCACAATTTCAAATCAGAATGCACCAATGATGAGTGGCTCTACTGATTTTCCATTACAATAAAACAAGACAAATGTGTAAACAAAGAAAGAGTGGATGCAGCATATACAGATGCACATTATTCTAGTTTATTATAGATACAAAGAGTTCTCTGTCTTCTTTTCCAACTCCTTAATTATTTGTGTTACGTAATCAAAACAACTGCTGCTCTTTCTATCACTCCACGAGTTCATCAGAGTCTGAAGTGACTCTATGCCATGTTCCCCTCCTTCTCTCATCCCTCTCTCCAGTACCATTTGCATACCTCTTGACTTTTTCCTCTTGCATCCTGCCTCTTCTGCCTCCTATGTACACTCAGCTCCTCTGCCTCAATAGAAACCTCCCCTCTATTTGTCTGAAGTGCAGATGAAAGTGAGATTCGTGGAGAGAAATGAGAAGGGCCAGACTATGACCACTTCTTACAGATATGCAAGAGAGAAAAGATCAAATATGAGTGGACACACTCATCTAAAAGGAAACGCACTAGTGCAAGGAAAAGTGGGAAAAGTTTTATACCAAACTTCATTTCCACTTTTCCTTGAAGTCTCCTCCGTTTCCTTTATAGTTGCTTGAATGTAAGAGCACTTTACGTCAGTCCACTCTATGTCTGTCCTTCTGCCTGACAATTTATTCTTGTCATTTAGTTCAGCCTTGTTCCACATTCTTCGCTGCCTTTTATGCATGGTGGTGGAGTTGACTTTTATGTATTAGATCCATAAACCTTTTTAAGGAAGCAAGCAAGACAATATAAAGTTTAAAAAACAAATGTCAAAAGAAAGGAATAGACCTAACTTTGAGTAATAGTGAAGAGGGAGAACTAATTCAATTCTGGGATATATTATTTTAAAAATCCTCTTTCAATTGCTCAGTAAATAATGCATGTATTTATGTTCCTTCCTGAAAGTGAAAAATTGGAACCATCAGTACATAACCCCTTGAATATTCAAGTCAAGCAATTGTTAGTCAGTGTGCAGAGTTCACACTTCTCACTTTCATGCTGCTCTCAGAAGTAAAATATCATTTTTGGTGAAGATGTCTGCAGGCAGTTATGGACTAGTATGAATGAAACGGAGGCAGCTTTCCTATAAGGCTCTGAGTTCATGTTTTCTTCTCCCCTCTACTATGAAGAGGTTAATGTACAAAACAGGTATTGCATAAACTCCAGTTTATACAGAACACTGCAGAATATAAAGTAAAACCAAAAGGTCTGAACACATCACCCCTATTTTATCCTCTCTTCACTGGCTCCCTGTTTGACAACTTACTGGTTTTAAAATACTTCTGGTTTTTAAATCTGTTGATGGCTGAGCTCCCCCCTAAGGTCTGCTGCAACTGGGTCCTCTTCTAAATCCAGACTGAAAACACTTATTTATATCACTGTTGCTATGAAGTGGTGAATTTACAGCTAAAAGCAACTTAATATGAAATTTTGTCCTGCTTTTGTTTGATGTCTACAGTAATGTCAGCAAAAAAATACATCTTCCGATCTGCCCTTACCATAGTTAGCACGCATTAGCTCAGATGAAAAGTCGTTTGGTATATTATGAGAATGTTGCTGTCATCCTCAACTTCCTGCTGTTCCTACTCCAAAATCTGGCAGTTCAATAACACGTTGCTTGGTAGTCTTTTTGAAAAAAAATCCAAAAAGGAATTAGTTAAATACAATTTTGGAATAATTTTCTTGGATAACCCCATCTCATTGGACAGACTGATCTCTTTCTTGTGTGCAACCTCAGTGTGAATCAGTAATGATGATGCAATATCAGTGTGGTGCTGAGATCTATTCATTTGTGCAATTTGCTGCACATCCAGATAATCTGGATCTGATAGACCTGTGTGGGATTGTCTCTCCGTAGCAAAAAGTATGCACAGACAGAGGATTATTATGGAAAGAGGATCTGTATGTTGACTTCTTGAATTTCATTATTCTGGATGTCTATACACATATTTACAGTGTGTTGATCCTAAGAGAACCAGCATCCTCTGAGCCAGAACCTCCATGTCTGGGAAGTTCTCCTCTTTAACAGATGATTGAAATGTCAGCAATGGCAATGACATGAAGTGCTGTACCTGCAGTGCATCAGACCACAAGTCTATGAGCTGCACATCAAGTTGTACATCACCGGGGACACTGTCGACATTGCATGTGAAAGGAGAGGAGATTGTGAGCTTTTTCGATTCCTCTGCTTCAAAGTCTTCAAATCGTCTGGAAAACTCATCACGCGACGGCTTCAACACGGGAGCATTTCTGTTAAGTTGATCAGCAGATGGAGTCTTTTCCTTTGGAGTGGAAAGGTGTATGTGTTCCACTCGTCAAGAGAGAAGCAGCTGCTGCCTCTTCATGAAGGCCTTGACTCGAATGTGTATCTCATGTACAAAGAGACTCTTTCCTCGCTGCTCTGTATTCAGTTCATTCATGAGAGCAGTTACAACGGTGGCTTATGCCAAAACACCCAACCAGTCTGCACCGCTTGGTTCAGGGATGTTCTTTCCTCTCATCTAACACAACTCCTGATTCTCTGATTTCAGGTCACACACTGTTTAAGCCCAGTCTGAGACATATGACAGCTGTGTAGTGGCTCACATCAGCTGGTTCAGTCTCCTCCAACAAACTGCCTGTGATTTAACGCTGCTGTCCTCATGAAGTTTACAACTTTAGTAACAACATCAACCACATGGTTTATTTTTTTAATACCCACTGTCTTTGCACCTCTGGATGAACAATGCAGAATAAATAGTTTCTGTTCTGTGTTAATCTCAGTCACTTGAAAAGGCTTTTTCAGCCGTGAGTCATAACACCAACCATCTCTTTCCCACTGCAATCCAAACTTCTGGAGGCATGTATTTACTTCCACAAATAAATTGTTACCAGTTGTTGGCCCTTTGATTGATTTCAAGGAAGCCAGTTTGTCCATATTTTCAAAGACTTTGGTTTTTCCTTTTATTAAATCAGTAGCTGGGCTGTGTCACGCACATCGTAGCTCCTACCCAGAGCCAAGGGGAAGACACTGAATTAGTAGTTCTTGTTGTACAGAGTCTTCTCCTGCCTGGCTATTGTCAGAGTCCACCAGGCACTCTTTGATAGTTTCTCCATCTGACAACATCTTGCTGCTTTTGTCAGTTTATTGAGCTAATTCCTAACTCCTGTTATATTTCCTTCCCTCATTGTGTGAAGCTTTGTAAAAAAAAAAAGACATTGTTACTTTTACAACAGGCTGCCCCTTCCTTTTCATCTTATTATGTCGCCTGTATGTTTGTTGAAAACTAAGCACACAGCTTGAACACCACCCTCGCTGAAGAAGCAGTCCCGACTTATAACACTCTACATTCAACCTCTTTAGTGCTCATTTTGAGAAGCAGGTAAGCGTCAGTGTGAAGCTAGCATTTCTAGCATCTTTGACATTTGGAACATACTCTTTGGGTTTCCTGAAAATACCTCTGATTGTCAGGTTTTATTAGCATTGTCAAAATGTGTGTGGTCTTTTTTTTTGTCTGGAGCCTGTAAAACAGACAGATCTTGAATATTTATCAGTGGCCTTTCAGGTGTCAAATGAATTGACTTCCTTTTGGATTCCAGCCCCTGCAGAGCATGAAGTTTATTGAATCTCATAAAGTAAGTTTTGCGAAACTCATCTTGTAATGTGGGACGTCTTTAGGGCCTCTAGTTTAGATAATGATTAACCCATTTTGTTCTTCAGTGGTGACAATTATATAACAAAAATGTAAATTACCATCAGCCAAGTGATACACGTAAACCTTGGTTATTTCTCAGGACCTTGGGCTCTTGGGTATTTTTCTGTGTGTTTGGTTCCTTCATATTAGCCCTAATATGGAGGAATATGAGTCAGACTTGGTAAATGGTTGTGTTTTCTTCAATGTGCTCTCTTTGATTGTGCTGCAATGAATACAGCTAGGTGTTTTGTCACCTCTGCTAAAGAGCTTTTTGTCATCTGCGTTTGTTTGCAGTCAGGAGAGACGCGATTGAATTTGGTGCAGATCTGCATTAGAGTGCAGATCCACTTTCTTTAGGATTTCTAAGTAGAGCATTTATTAACATGCTGGATAATTTCTCAGAGAATAATTCTTGGATCTTGAATTAAAAATCAGGCATGTTTGAGGGACTGCCATCTATGAGTGTGTGGAATTTGGTGTCGATCCAAACAAATCTTGGGAATTTTAAAATGTGGTTTTCATAAGCAGACTGTTCAGCCGGTTGTTTTAATAACCCCTCTCTTGGACATTTGCTGCAGAATAGTTTATATTTTTGAACCTGTCCTGTAATTCTTTTCTTT